ACCGAATCTACCCGGTTCTCTCTCTCTCTCTCTCTCTCTCTCTCTCTCTGCTAATTGACCCGACTCCTTTGAAAGAGAATGAAAATAATAATCGCATGACATGCGTTTTTATCGAGATAAGAAGCACCGCGCATTATTACCGGTGTAATAGGCGACCGCCTTCGCCTGTACGTTACTTAAATTAATTGCCTCTCGCATTACCGAGAGATCATGTAAACATGATTTTTTTCTAATTGCTTTTAATTTATTGTTGGTAGTTCTAAGTGTCAGACTAATTCAACTCCTCCTCCTTCGAATTCCCGGCTCTTAGTGTTTATCTTTCTTTCTGTCTGTGATCAATGACTTTTATTTTTCTATAATATAATATATAATAATAATAATAATAATAATTTTGTGTTATATATTTTTATATATGTTTTATATTTATATTTTTATATTCTTTGCGTTATTTCTTTATCGCTTCTCCTTTGATATTTTCTCTTTACATCCTTATCTCTCTTCTCATCTTTTTGTTTTCTTAATCCCGGAAAAATCTATCGTTGGGTTTTCTCCGGCCACGATGACTATCACCACAGGATGATCCTTCTGCGCGATCTGCCGTATTTGTGCGTCCGTTTTGAAAAAAATGATGCCCGAGTTGACAGAAACATTCCACGCGTATCTGCGCGCCGTTAGGCGACGCGCGGAGAGTACCTGAGAAATCTATTTGTCTTGATGACAAACGGTCAGACTTGGCCATTAGTTAATGTACACAAAACCATCGAGACCAACGTTTGTTGCACACGGACCGGTCGCGAAAAAAATTGTGTCCATTCCCGCGAGAGGACGAGTGCATTCTTCGTATTACCGTGATTGCCACGCGCATATTAACAACTCGAGAGAGACGTCTAACCAGGAAGAAAACTAATTTACCAGAATGGCGATAAGAGACTCGGGAAAAGAAACGTAAAACCCACATAACATCACCGATCGAACGGAAGCTCGACTAATATCGATGGCGATAACAGCGTTGTTTAGACTAGAAAAAGAATAAAAGATTAATTAAAAATAAAGTTGCTTTCTGGGTCTCTATCGCATCTTTATTAATTAAAATTCTTTATTGAACGTTTAGGTGCCTTTAATCATCTGGCTTTAAAATCCGTGTTCGTTTTTCTCGATAAACACGTGCTTTCTCTATGATTTTTTTGTTGACAAAAATGTTGTTTCAAACACACATATAGGCTTCGTTTTTTTCTTTTTAGTCTTTGGTGTTTTCTAATCGGATTCTATATATGATGTTAAAACGGACATCAAGGAGTGAGCTTAGAATAAACCAGACAATCCGCACATTTCCGTTCCTAATTACCCGTATTTGCTTCGATTTTGATATCAATTTCGATGTAGGTACAGTGGATCCTCATAAAGTCACCTAACAAGCATAGCAGAAACTGTGTTCTGTTATGTAAGATTTTCTTCTCAAATAACTATGCGTTTTAGTTAAATACCCGCTATTGACATCGCCGCAATCTTTCCATTTAGAAACACGCGCTTAAGAAGAAAGTACATAGAATATTCTTGGAATAATCGCGCTTTTATCGAGTGCCTTATGTCACTGCAAAAATAACGCTATCAGTCAGATTTGAGGAACGAAATAATCGCGCGAGGGGAGGATACCGCGCGCCGAGATTTCAGCTGATTGACATGCATATAAATTTACTGATAGCCTTTTCCAGATAGTGTTTTTTTTTTGTGAAATCATTTCCACCCGCTGGTTAAATATGTTCGTCATGATTGCCAGACGATCGCGCTGGCGCATGGCCTGTTCGGAAATAGATATGTATTATTGTCAGCTGTCTCCTCGAATACAGGAGGATAAGGATTGCTATGCAAAACATTAGCATACAAAGATAGCAATATTTCAAATATGGTGCCTACTGACGTCGGCACGTTTAACCAATACCGAAGCTAACAATCGCTGCAACACGCAAATGTATCTAGCGGTGATAACACCCGATATCGAATAACATACATAATGATATGAGAAATAACCTCGATCTAAAAAAGTATGAAATTTAAAGCACATTTAGAGTAATACATATTAACATCGTTAATGACGCATAATATTCGACGCATTGGAAAATATTATCAAATAATGCAATAGCGGGGCCAATGAGAGTTACGCGTTGTAAATAATGTGCAGGACTTACATATAAAAGTTATTCAATTTTTAAAAAATACATTATCGTAATAGAGTTCGCATTGAAAGATATTATTATATATATAGTGGCAAAATTTTTGTCATAAAGAAATTTAAAATATGTATTTAATTTTATACCTTGTATCTTATATATTTTTTGTTTTTTTAACGTAATTTTTTTAGATGTACTATTCATGAAAACAAAAGATACTACTCACGAAAACAAAAGATAATTATAACTATACATCTAAATCTTAAGAATTTTAAAAACATGTAAACAAAAAAATACAAATTGTACAAATCGTTTAAGCATTTTCATAAAAAAAACAACGATTTTACATTTGAAATATTTATGTTTAAAATGTCTAATTTTAAACATGTGTAATTTTCTTTAACATAATAAGACTTTTTTGTTACGTTAATTTTTTATGTTCACACTCGATTTTTCTGGTGTTAGAAAATAGACGTTTTGTTTATCCGAGATTTAATTTCAAGTTTAACACAAAAGATTTTTTTGCACTAAAATATTTTGTATTTTTGATTAAAGTTATAGAGAAAGTTATTTCTTGTAAATAATTCCATGTAAAAACACATTTTAATACAAGATAAACTAATGGATCTATTATGACCCATTGTCATTTATTGTGAAAGGCTTTATGCTTCCTAAATCTGTGAAACAAACTTTGACAAAACGGTTTCCTTATATTATGACATTTTATTATAATTATAACATTTTTAAAAAATATTTCATGACAAACACAATTGTATAATTTATATGATTCAATGTTAATATAAAACTTTTAGTACTTTTTTATTAAGTATTTTATGTATCATAGCAAAAAAAAATAAAGATTTATAAATATATATAGTAACGACTAAGTTCTAAAATGCTTATTTTTACATAATTATTCGATGTAATATAACAATACAATTTAACAACAATTTAATAATATAATTTTTCTCACATACATGAGAATTACTGATTGTTGCATCAATAACATAGTTATTAAATAATCACATAATTATTTATCAAAATTGTATCACATCCCAATGGATATTAGTCATTTATACATAGTACATTTTTTATGTCAGCTGC